TTCATCCTCAAAAGACAATTTGAAGGTGTTCCTGGAGTCAGCTGGGAACTTTGAATTGTTCTGTTATCAACTAATGATTGGTTGCAAGCTCGTGCATGTAATTTGCCCGTAGTGTAACTTATATGAATTGTTTTGAAAAGCCGCTGCACAATGCTTGATTAGAGACCAAAATAACAATTTAAGAGACGAAAGCAGCAATAGTAAGTTTGAGTTAGAGTTCACACATGAATGTAGATTTTAGAAATCTAAAAATGAATTTAGAAATAAATGTGCTTCGTTAGTGAGAGCTGAAGGTAAGTCATACAGAGGCTAACACAGATATCTTACTTTAGAATATCAACCGTAAACCAATTCATTAGTTTATACCAATCTCCTCTTTTCTTCCGCCAAGTTTGAGTTGATAACTTAAGTATTATTATAAAATCTAATATTTCTAAAACTCTCATGCAGTCATGGGAAATTCAAACAGGAAGTAGTGTGCCATGCATTCAAGCAAGTTTATGCGATATTTAAAGATTTCACAATAATAATGCGATTCTAAGACTGGATCTTCATAAGATTCTTCCATATATCGCGTTGATTTTTATCCATGCTGTTCATGAGCTTAAAGAGGCGTCTTTAATTCCCTTCAATCGTAGATAAAAAAAAACTATTTACCTGCTTGATACCTTGCCTAGCTTCCTTTTCAGAAATGCTCATATCAGTGTTCAATTTGTCGTATTTCGTCAAAAATTCTTTGGTTGTCGCATCACCTCCGATAAGATCCCTTGCCGCTGCAAATCTGGCTTTCATTGTATTACTGTACTTAAGCTGTTTGGCTTCCACCACTTCCTTGTACTTATTCTGAAAAAAATAAGTGTTTTTGGCAAGGAGTGCAAGTTTTGTGGATTCTTGATACCTTGATATTTTCATCCTGTCTTTCCAAAATAACGTCGAGTTTCTTCTTTTTGTCGGAGCTGTAATCGCATTATTAAAACAGCGAGCTTATCCATCGAAATAATTTCGATTAACATATGTTATTTAGTGCAAATGTGCATGTTTTGTAATCTTCCCAGCAAGAAAACGGAATTTGTTAACAAATTGATTTTTCATTTATTGCTGCCTTCTTCAGTTGACCATAATTTCCCATTAGAACTAAGGTCTTAAAAAAATCACCGAATCAAGCTTTGGTCCTTGTCAAGAATGTTCAGTTGCCTCTTGTCCATATCGTAAGGTACTAGTGCCTTCAGATCGAGGACAAATACGGGGTCATAGGCGACCAAGACGGAAGCAAGGGTCAATAGCAAGAAAGCTGTCCTCATTCTGAAGAAAAGCGCCGCTAATTAATTTAAAGCTGCTCCCTAAAGCTGGTAATCGGCTGTCGACGTAATCTTGTTGAAAGATATATGTAATTTGTACCCCTGATTACCTTTCAACCTATAAAAGGTGATCAGAACAACTTAATTAATCTATCAAATATTTCCAAACTTGTCATGAAGGAGCTAAGAAGAATGAGAAACATCAAAATTTCAAATCAAATGATGGTTGGACAGGCAGTTTGGTTGCTCTGGGTGCTCCTTCACCAGTAACACCTTGCTTATATTCTCGGCTGCGAATGTAAAAGTTTGCTGAACAGTGAAAGGAGTAGGCGTTTGTTAGCAGCTGAAAGAGAAGGCGTTGTTAGCACAGAGTGATGGGAGAAATAATAACTGTTTTTAAAATAGTTAGTCAACCCATTGGGGGCACACATTACACGTGTCAGGCGCGTGGGGCCAACGTGCTTTTTCTTTGGTTTTTCATTGACCACTGTTTGTACTAATTAATAATTAGGTCAAAGTTTGCAATATTATGGAAGCTTCAGCTTTGTGCGTGATAGTTCAACTGAAAATGAGCAATCAATGAATTTCACAATATGTATCATTGAAAAAATATTGTGATATTTGCGTGGTAATATGTTAGCACACCTTCATGATATTCTTTGTTTTGCACCCCCGCGATTGCCTATATATTGTGTGCTTGATCCACCAGAGCAAAGGAATAGGAAGGCCCGGTGGAAGACCCCAAAACGCAAATGATGCACGACACAGGAGCAGCACTATGTACGTGTCAGGATTTCAAGGAGGCTTCACAAAAATCAAAGGGCTGAAGAAAGAGTATTATGACAGTACAGTATTATGGTGTCGGGCACAAATCTGAATAGTACGTGAATAGACAGCCAAGCAATGGATCAAGCATCACAGCATTTTCATGTATATATTGAGCCGTTGAGGATGAATGAACTTTAAAGTCTCAAAACTGTGGAAAACTCCACCATTAGTCGTTACTGATTGATTAATAGTCTCGGACAGAAAACCTCCGCTCCCAAGGTTTTTTGTCACATTCATATAAAGAACTGCAAATAACTGTTCAATAGGTCTATCGTTCATCGTACAAGGATATTTTTTGAGTTACACGTAGCAGTGAAAACTCTTTCCCTTTATTCTGCTGGTTGCGCTGCCTTTAATGGCCTTAAAAATGCTTGTATGATAATTATTGTAGCATTTATCAACTCTGATATAGACAAAACGAATTTCTTTATACATTCTTCTATTCACGAACTTTCGAGGAAAGAGTAGTGAATTCAAAAATCGCAAACTTAAAATGTTTAAGCCACCCATTTCTTCGATGAATCTTCGCCTTGTAACTGCCGATATCATGAGAGTTTTAAAGAAACGATAAATTTTCTACGGACCTTGGGTTAAATGGCTAAATAGCACTACGTTCCTGGTAGCTACATCTTCAAGACTTTCCCTTTGAACCGTACGTTTAGTTAAGATTTTGCTCTCAACTACTATACAGTACTTATAAGCAAGCTAATTTTTGCAAAAAAAACTGATTCTCTCAGAAACTTATGCTAGTAATATTGATTTGTTAGAACACGCTTATGCCACTCATTATCAAGTGAAATTCTCGCAATACACACTGTTAATGTAAGAGGTACTTAGGAACAGTCTCTTTTTAACTTTAGTTTTACCTTTTCTAAGAAGCGATAAGCTTGGTTTTGATATAGGTGCATAGCTGGGTGATAGACTCATCATTCTGGTATCTACACTATTGTAGTTCTTTTACCTGAAAACTTTGTAATGAACTTTTTAGACTGATTTTATATCGTCAATTTCACCATCGTGATAGAGGACAAGACAATCACCATATACGTCTAATCAACTTGTATAGGAATAATTTTTGCTTTTAAC